AGAAAGAGAAAAGAGGAGAGGGACGAGGAGTGGGAGAAGGAGGAGGAGGAGGAGGAGAGATACATGAGAAGGAGGTGGAAGAAGGAGGAGGAGAAAGAGAAAAAGTAAAAGGAGGAGAGAAGAGGAGAGGAAGAAGGAGGAGATAGATGAGGAGGAGCAAGAGAAAAAGGAGGAGGAGGAGAGGAGAGGGAGGAGGAGATAGATGAGGAGAAAGAGAAAGAGAAAAAGGAGGAGAAGGAGGGGGAACGAGGAGAGAGAGAGGAGAACGAGGTGGAGAAAGAGGAGGAGAAGAAAGAAGGAGGAGGAGGAGGAGGAGGGGGATGGGTAAATAAACCTGATGAAACCCAATCCCCAAATTATTGTGGGTTTTCTAAGCAGAAGGATGAGGGAAATCATGACGTTGTAAAACAAACTTATTTTTTTAGTCTGGAAGAATCACAATGGGCCAAACAGGGAGATGGCTTTGAGGCAAGTTTCTTTCTCCGACGCTCTGGGCCAAGGATGCCGTGGTCCTCCTTAAATCTGCAGCCTTGCAGAGAATGGTCCCATCCCATTTTCCTCTCTGCTTCCAGAAATCCCGAATAAGAGGTTCCTCCTTCGCAGGGAGAAGATCCAAGATGCAAATTCTATTCCCCCTGCAAGAGAAGTGACTTCCCGAAACTTTGAAGAATGTGCTAAATACTTCCTCTGGGAGGAAGTTATGGAAGGGCTGTTGGGAAAAGAAGCCAGCATCTGCCCTTCTCTCTCTCTCCTTTAGTCATTGATGTGGGCAGCAAAACCTGCCTTTCTCTTCTTTTCTCTCTCCAAAACAAAAAGAAAACAGACAAACAATAAAACCACTGCTATGCCGACAGATGGGCTTAAAGAACCAGAGGAGAAAAGCGGGACCCTTGTTTATCAAAGGTTGCCTGCAAAGGTTCAGTTTTCAATAAGAAGAAGAAAATAGAAAGAAAAGCTGCCCCATACAACATTTCCACCTGTTAACCTGGATTAAAAAAACCAGGGAACATTATATTTATGCTCTACTATATCATTTCTTTCTTTCCTTTCTTTCTTTCCCTCCCTCCCTCCCTCCCTTACTCTTTTCTCTTTCTCTCTTTTCTCTGTTTCTTTCCCTCACTTCTCTCTCCCTCCCTCCCTCCCCTCTTCTCTCTTCTCTTTCTCTCTCTCTCTGCCTCTCTGGCTTCCTCTCTTTTTCTTCTTCTTCTTCTTCTTCTTCTTCTTCTTCTTCTTCTTCTTCTTCTCCTCCTCCTCCTCCTCCTCCTCCTCCTCCTCCTCCTCCTCCTCTCTCTCTCTCTCTCTCTCTCTCTCCCTGTTTGTGTGTGCACAAGAAAATTGTGCAATCTCTGTGAAATATCCCGTGGTTAATCTTCTTCTAATTTCAGTTCAGCTTTCTAACAACAAGGGACATTGAATTGTATACTCCTTAACTACTCTGTAGCGGGGGGGAAATGCCTCTTTTCTAGCCACTGTGATACAAAATAAATATTTATACAAATATTGTGCACCAAAGCCACAAGAATGCATTTCCTCCTATGGATGGCAGCTTGGCACAATTAGGAAACAGTAAATCAACAAGCCAAGCATGCAGTGCCAAGAGAGAGACAGTAAAAGAAAAATGTTAAGCGTCTCCTAATCGGTTTTCAGGCTCCATGGATCGGTACATCCACAATTTCAACTATTTGACCAAAAAAAAGGCCAATGTTTGCCCAGGCCCAAGAGATCAAAGACAATCTTTATGGAAACCACCACAAAGATACTTTTTGGGAAGGAAAGAAAGAAAGATAAAAGCAATGTCACGGAAACACAGATCTTAAAGAATCAAGCAAAAGATTTTGAGGTGGGGTGGGACCTAGTGAGGTGGAAGCGTTTTATTCTGAGATGGAATATGTAACATTTTTGCCCCCCTCTGCAACGTGCATATTCACTGGAGGAGGAGTGACATCAAACAGCAAATTGTGTGGTCCTGGTTACCGGAATCAGATTGGATCCTGCAACATTATCCTGGGAAACATATATTTGCCTTCATTCAAGAGAGATGATAGATGGTTGGATGGATGGATGGACAGATGATACAAGATAGATTGTTAATACTGTATATAATATGCAGATAGATTGATGGTATAGATAGGCAGGTAGGTATGTAGGTAGATAGATAGGATAGAAGGATAGGATGGATAGATAGACAGAGAGAGACAGAGAGATGATAGATAGACAGACAGACAGATGGACAGACAGATGACACAGGATAGATTGATGATAGAGATGGCTAGAGATAGATAGGTAGACAGATAGGTAGGTAGGTAGGTAGATAGATAGATGATAGATAGATAGATAGAAAGAAAGATAATAGATAGATGATAGATAGATAGATAGATAGATAGAAAGATAATAGCTAGCTAGCTAGCTAGCTAGATAGATAGATAGATAGATAGATAGATAGACAGATAGATGATAGACGATGGATAGATGATAGATAGATAGATAGATAGGTAGATAGATAGATAGATGATAGATAGATAGATAGATAGATAGATAGATAGATGGATGGATGGATGGATGATAGATAGATAGATAGATAGATAGATAGATAGATAGATAGATAGATGATAGATAGATAGATAGATAGATAGATAGGTAGATAGATAGATAGATAGATAGATAGATTCTGGTAACGTTATCCTGGGTGACCCAGATTCGCCTTCGCTCCTAACTAGTTCCCACTTTGCAACCCGACTGCTTCCCATAACTTGAGCGCTGGCAGGTGATTTCAAGCTCACTTCTCCGCCTGGCTCCATGTTTGAATCCATGCTAGAGTGCAAATCTGGGTTGGGAGGAGAAGGCAGCGCTGCCACCCAACCACCCGAACCTAGAAGAACTGAAAAGTTGAGAAGGGTGTCCAAAAAAACGAGGACAAGGAGACTTCCTGGCAACGGCCAACTTTTAAAAGCACGCTGCTACAGCTGGTCCGTGGTCACTTTAACCTTCTGCTAAATCTTTCCAAGTAAGGAATGTGGGGTGACCTGCCCTGGGTTTTTTTTTTTTTAAAAAAAGCAGGGTCCAGTTTATTTTAAACTGGAACAAACACGAACACATACCGAAAAGCGATAAAAGCTCGCTTGTCAAAGTGCTCCGGTCTCTTTCTTTTCAGCTAAGGGGGTAGGAGCCCCACGGATTGCACAATGAAGACTTGGCAAGTGTGATGGGGCTCACGAGGGAGAAGCCAACCCACTTTCCAACTGAACTGAAACCAGCACCACAAAACAAAGGGCCGGCGTATGTGTCAACAAGTATCAGAAGTTCTGAGGCTTGGATAGAGAGAAGTCGTTCCCTTCTTCAAGCATAAGTAGTTAATTATTATTAATAGAATCTTCTTCACAAGAGAGGATTGAGGCCATTTTGGCAAGACAAAATGATACATCCCTCCTTTTCTCTCCCTCCCTCCTCCCTCTCTCTTCTCTTTCTCTCTTCTCTTTCTCTCTCTCCTCCCTCTTCTCTCTCCTCCCTCTCTCTCTTCTTTTTCTTCTCTCTTCTCTCTCTTCAACTTTCTCCTTTTCTCTCTCTCTCTTTCCTCTTTCTGTCTTTCCCCCCTCTCTTCTCTTTCTCTCTCTCTCCTCCCTCTCTCTCTTCTCTTTCTTCTCTCTTCTCTTTCTTCAACTCTCTCCTCTTTTCTCTCTCTCTCTTCTTTCTGTCTTTTCCCCCCTCTCTCTTCTCTCTCTCCTCTCTTTCTTTCTTCTCCTCTCTCCTGTCTCTTTTCTCTCTCTCTCTCCTCTTTCTGTCTTTCCCTTTCTCACACACTCTCCTCTCTTTCTCTCTCTCCTCCCTCTTCTCTCTTCTCTTTCTCTCTCCTCTCTCTTGTCTCTCTCCTCTCTCTCTCCTCTCCTCCCCTCCCCACTCTTTTCTCTCTCTCTCTCTGTTCTATTGTTTGGGACATTTTAAAGTCCACGAAAGATCCATTATTAGGTAATGCCATCTAGATGAATCTTGCCCAGTATATAAAATTTTCTTCAGTGTGCCAGTCACAAACCCTCAAGGGTTAGTAGAGAAGGAGAAGGGAAGATTAAAACAGCCACCTCCATAATGTTGCATCAAACTTAGTAGCTACTGTCCAATCCCCCCCCACAGAAATATCCAGCAAAATTTCTCAAGGAAGGCACGTTTCGAGTTGCAAAGAGTTGTGTCAGCTGCCTGATTCCTTCCAACTTGTAGCAGAGAATACGTTTTGCCAGACTTCTCCAGAAAGCCAAACTATGGGATGCAAAACAGGCTGTGCAACAGTGACACCTCTGTGTTTCAGCATCTTCATGGTTTGAGGTGACCCCAGTGTTTCCTTCGCCCGTTGAACATGCAGACTTCTTCTTTTACGTAATGGCAGGCCCCTAACCCTGACTTTTAAAATCTTTTTTATTTATCCTGGACATAAATTGTTTCA